CGTGTTTGCCTGTCGATTATTCTACCTTGCAGGGCCCCGGCTCGCCCGAGCCTTCCAGGCATTCTTGATTTCCCCAGCTGCTCTGTAGAGGTCCTTTTCCGAAACCCGGTCCTCGATGCTTTGAAGCACACTCTTAGTTGTGCTGATGTGGTTGGCCTCGTTTTTATCGTCACGGAAGCGCACAATACGCCACCGACCCTGCTCATCGATGTTACATTCAACCACTCGCCAGTTGAGCGGATCGTTGAGCGACTTTAGAGTCTCCCACTCCTCCTCGGAGATGAACACGCTGTTAAAATATTCGTACTTTTCGGGGCCGCTGCCCCCCGCATAGACGTAGAGATCAGCCTTGGGGACGCTGTCATAATCAATGAATGGCTCACTGATGCCTTCGCGACGCTCCTCGTCGCTGGGCTCAACTTCCACAAAGTCCAGGGACAGGCGGCAGTCTACAGTGTTCTCCTCTGGCGGCTTCCATTTCAAGATGTGGTTGTCGGTGCCGTGTTTGTAAGCAGTGGTGCGACAGGTGAAGATGAGGCCGTCGTTGCCGTGCTTTAGCTTGGGGAGGATATCTCTGAACATCATATCAATGGCGTAGGCAAACTGGGGTTTCTTCATCTCCACGTAGAAGGGCTGGAACTCTAGTTCCTGAGGGTATTCCTGATAAAGTTTCTTGTAGGGGCGATAGAATCGTTGATCGAAATATGCGAGCCGCTTGTCGAGCGTTCGTTCCATGAGCATGGCACCATCCAGCACCAGACAGTCAAAGACCAGAAACATGGGGACGCGCTTCCCGTCGGAGCCTGTGTCCCAAACCAGTTCACCGTCGATCAACGTGTTGGTGTGGAATGCTTCTGGGGAGTTCTCGAGAGGGAAGTGCAGGCTCCTGTTCGTGATGAACCAAAAGTCGTTTTTGCGATCGATTAGGTAGTGAGCCTCGTTTCCATTCTCGTCTGTTGTCGAATAGAGGAGATATCTGATACCGTCGGACTTTTCGACTACGTAGTAACTACAAGGCCGCCGTTAGCTGGTGGTTCTAGGTAGCGAGACAGCGTCCCATGTCAATCTTACTCGTGCTGAGCGAGCTCCTCGAGATGCTGACGGGCGAAGCTCACGGGCTGCGCACCGGGAAAGCCAGTGGCAGACCTGTTGAGAAGGTTTGCGACCTCCTTGCGCATTTCGTGGAGTAGTTGTCCTTGAGCCTTGATGCCTGGCTCCGCGATAGAGGCGATGGGCCCATCTTGTTGGGCCATCGCGATGACTGCGGTGAGGAGCAATGGCGGAGGGAGGTTTGATTGTTGTTGCGACAATGAAGCTACTGTCCTTTATGATAAATGCTTATCGATAAGGAACACTTACAGCAGGATCGCGTACTACCTTACCTCATTGCGTTCCCAGCCATCCATGGATAGGTAGGTAGGTTGCTGTCAAGGGACCTGTAGGCTGTATTTATATTGCTAGTTTACCTAGTTAAGATAGTAATTGCGCCACTGAGCCAGGTAGACCTTTACTGATTTTAACCTCCATGAGGCTGGCTTACTATAGGGGCCTCACTGTTTGAGCCTTACCTAGGTAGTTTGAAAAGTTAAGAGCTTGATGGCCTTGTATAAGGCTAATGGTAAGAAAAATAAAATAAAATTATAAGTTTTTATTTCAATTATTCTTCTTTTCTTTTCCCAGAGCTGACGTGCAATGTTTATTTGCAAGGTATGCATTCCTGTGACACTTGTACGGTCTTTAGTGGCTCTCCTGGCGAGACCAATAATTCATCAGAGAAGGACTGCACGAAACTCGCAGATTTGCACAACTTCACGATAAACCATAAGTAACATGAGTGTCAGTGCAAAGGCCGAAGCAGAGAAGAAGCCAACGAATTATATGGGAATATTATTCCTCTCTTCTTATCATCTACGGCTTTCAAACCATCCCATCAGGCACGCAAAACAACAGAATAAAACATGTTTAAGACTCGTCAATCTTCTCTACCTCTGCTCGAGCTTCCTCCCATTGTTGCTTACTTTTCTTGGCCCACTCGATCTGGCTCTGAGCATAGGCGAGCTGGTGGATGTTAGCGACTAGTCAAGACTGAGCTCATAAACTCACCATGTAGCGTCGCAAGTCGTCCTCCTTGTCCTTTTGGAATCGCTTCATATCCTTCAAAACACTCGCGCTGGCTTCTTTGACATCGCGCTCCGAGACAACTTGAGCTTGTTCTAACTGACCGATGCTCTCTCTCGTCTTTCCAATCAAGTCGCGGCGTGTCCTCTCTGGATCGACGTCAACGACCCCTTGTACTGCATGTCGGATGGGTCCAAAGATCTTGTTCGTTATCGAGTTCCCACTGGGCATCTTCTTATGGGACGGCGCACTGGTACTCCTTTCGGGTAACCCCTGACTGGCCGAAGGTGTGTGTGAGGAAAAGTCTCCGTGGGTCCCAGGAAAGTCAGAGTCGATGGACTCGGTGTCGTCCTGGCCACCATCACGCCGTTGATGAGAGGACGGCTCCTTGAGGCTCGTCGATCGCTTTGGTGGTGGTGATATTTGCTGACTACTGGAGAGGTAGTTCTCAATCCTTCGAGCCTCGGCTTCACTCTGCTCTAGTTGGTCGAGCAGCGCTCGCTTCTTGTTCAGCTCTTCGCTAGTTAAGTCTTGCTGTACACGCTTGAGCACACGATACTTTAGTACACTTCGAACAACACCCGCAAATTGCGCATGCTCACGCATGGGCTCAGCAAAGCTAGCACCCAGGGAACCCGAGAGCTCCTCTGTGGCGATATATGATAGATCAGCTGCCTGGCCAATTCGCTCAATGGCCGGTCCGAGTGATGGTGCCTGCTCTGAAACCGCAAAGGCGTTGTAGACGGAACCTAGCTCACAGAGATCGGCCGCCAATGAAGACAGATGGCTGAGAGTTCGTCTGTTCACCTTTTCCATTGGGCCGGTAAGAAGCTGTTCGAGTTCCTTGATCGAGGACTCGTATGAGATGAAATAAGGGTCCAGCTCCTGTTCGCCCAGATTGTGACCCTCAGGTGGAAACCGGCCAAAGGCGTGAGGCCCTGCTTGTATATGGCCCGAGCTATTATCGTGATTGGTACCAGCCGCCGTCTTGAGCTTTGCCGATGCTGCTGGGATTGGCAAGTAGCTGTGCGCCGGAGTTGGGTTTGCGGGGTCCAACGGAGGCGCTTTCAAGATCGACTTGGGAATTGACGACACGGGATGAGAGTGCAAGACCTCGCTCTATTATGCAGTTAGTAGTGGCATCTGCGCGTTCAGAGACACGACATACCCAGCTAGCGTTAGGGTCCAGGAATCGCCACCAAACTCCATCTGTTCGGATTTCGTCCATTCGGCGGCAGCGATTTAAGAAGACCGCCAACATGCGCTTTCGAAGATCAATGATTTGCTGGTCCTGCTTCGCATTCGTGGGGTTCGCAGCATAATCAGCCATCGTGTGCTTCTCAGGGATAGGAGGAACAATTAAGGTAGGGTGGAGGCGAGTAAGGGCATCGCGCAGAGAAGCAAACTCTGAATATCGGCGGCGCACCTCGAGATCCTGTCACGTAGTCGTCAGTGAAATATTTCGAAGGACCAGCAGTAGATGGACGTACGCCAGTCTTAATAGTGTACACGATATATCTGCCGCCGCTCTCTAGACTCTTGCCAGCATCCGTGATGAGGATAGATAATTTGGGGTTCTCATATAGGATCTGCTCGATGCGACTGTCGTAACCACCAGGTTTGCGCTTGGGGCCGGGATCTTGCGCCGAGTCCCCATCGCCGTCATCACCGCCGTGGCCAAACTGGCCATGCTCATCATCGCTACCGGAGGTTGGTGTTTGAGGTGGCTCGAACGATTGGTCTGAGAGAAAATCGTAAGTATCATTGATCTGGTCCTCGGCCTCTGACAGAATTGAATCAACCATCTCAGCGACGGTTTGGGAATGCTGTCTAGTGAAATGGTATGGGTAATCGACGTACAATTACGAGTTGACGGGGACGTCGGATTGACAGACGATGACTGCGAGTCCCGCCTGTCAAAGCTGGTGCCGTACGGGTTATTGTCCTCGTCATTCCACATTCTGACGACTTGCTGAGGGCAATCGCGACAGGTGTTGCGGAAAGAGGTACTCAATACAGCTCAAGGTGGTCTACCTCTAGGTAGGTATTTCGCGCTTTTAAGCCAGGAGCCTGGACGGTAAGGTAAGAAGCTGGTAGGCTGCGGGTGAAGGACGAGAGCTTCAAGCAAGCGCAAAGTAGATAGTAGCTAGCGGGGGAGGGGCAAGCATGGGTCGAATGAAGCGATACGATATGGACGATAATTCATGCGCTGGAGCTGACTACCTTGGGTACATTCAGGCCTATTGTTCCTGGCCGTGGAGTAGAAATAAGCAGACCAGGTATGAGAAGAAGCCCAGGTGAAGATGGATGTCGCAGTCGTTGGTCGTCGGTGGGAGTAAGGTTAGTGCCTATAGTTCGGATACCTAGGCAAGGTAATGAAGGGGAATAGGATGACGTTGAATGGGGCTGGGCCGAGTTGGCTACCTAGGTACCTCCTACCTTATGGATGGCTGAAGTTGGCCTAGGTTATCAATTAGTCAATTCTTCTGTGCCGTACCTAAGTGCCTAGGGTACCTAGGTTACCCACTCTTGGGATGGACAAGTGACATGGAAGGGGCTCCGCCTGTTCCATTGTGGAACAACCTTTCTAATGGCAGCCCGAGTTAAATAGGTATTCACATGAACTCCATCAGTCAATATTGAGTACCAAAATAGGTGCTTTATGTAACCAAATGTCAATTTTCTACTCTGCTTTTCTACTAGACAAGCCAAGCTTAATGGTGACAAAGCCTTGTTCTCATGCTCGCGTCTTTCGCGCGAGCGCACTCTTGATTCCCTTTCTCCCAAGCCACTCCGCGTTGAACTTCTACCTACCTACTTATCTACGGAAAGTATTCTTGTCACAAAAACATAACTCAATGCCTTTATCCAACAGAGCCTTCTTATGAGGTACCTCCGCGACCACCAACTCCCCACTGGGCTTGCGCCTCGGCGATCGAGGTGTCAATCTCGGGCAGCTTACGTCCTCTACCCGTGGGTGCGGCCATGAACTTGATCTCAACAAGGTACCGTAGATACCTCCCGATATCCTCACGAGAAATGCCGTCTCCTGCGCTATCGTCAATGTCTGTCCAGCGGTCTGCATCGGCCCTAAGAACAGCCACAGCGTTCCTATCATCTAGCTCAGGAGCACGAGTAGTGCTTGGGAGATTTGCAGTAGCCATATGGAATAGCGGCATCAATGCGTTTTGCTCCTGATCCTTCTCCACGGCTCCGGCCGAGACAAACTCTTCCAGCTGCGACTTCCAGATGTCATAGTCTACCTCGGGTACTTCGTAACCGTAGTAACTTAGCGCAGAGAGGAGCTCGTTCATCCGCAGGCGGGGGTGAGCAGTAACATGCACCACGTTCATGCCAGGGAGAGGGTTCAGGGTCGAAGCGACAACAACGCGTGCGACATGATCGACAGGGACAGCATTGACCGAGTTGATGATGCGAGGACGAGCACCAAGCTGGCAACAGCCTTTCAAGAGGCGTACGATCCAATCGTCGGTGTTGGAAACACCGCTGTTGCGGCTGCCAAGGATGTATCCTGGTCGGACGATTGCGCCACGGAGACCACGGCGGCCGGCCTCGCGGACGAGTTGCTCAGAAACCCACTTAGTTTGCCCGTAGCCAGTGCCTAGACCGGTTCGGTTGGGGAGCAAGTCATCGGACTCAAGGACGGCGCCTCGGCCGGTAGCTGTCTGGGCATCGGACAGGTTGATATAGTAGTCGGTGTCGAGGGTCGAGGTTGAGGAAACGAATGAGAAGAGCTTGGGCTTGCCCTCGTTACAAAGCTTCACAGCGTCGATAGTTGACAGAACATTCGGCCCCATCATCTGTTCGTAACGAGCGATCCAGTGGACGTACGCAGCGTTGTGGATAAATGCATCAGCTGTATCAGCGACATGCTTCCAGCTAGCGTCGTCTAGGCCAAGGCGAGGCTTAGAGAGATCACCAATAACGCAGGAGATCCTATCAGCCCAAGAGTCTTGCCAGAGACCGTAGCCCTTGAGGGATCTTACAAGACGCTCCTTGGCAAACTTAAGGTCCTTGGCTCCCCGGATACAAGCGATCAGCTTAGTGTTCTTTCTGTCCAGTATATCCTTGACTAAGTATGCGCCGAGAAAGCCAGTAGCCCCGGTAAGAAAGAAAGTGGCGCCGTTAGAAGGGCTCAGAGCATCCGGATCCGCACTTTGGTACTTCGCGTCTAGAGTATTGGTAAGCTCATCGAGAGAGTCAGAGTAAACATTATCGTTAGAATGATCGACTGTGACAGCCTGGCCGCTGCGAAGACTGTCGACTGCGCTGCCCAGGCCTCGAATAGTGGGATTTGCATAGAGGACACCGATGGTGACATCGGCACGTAGTTCCTTGCGAATATCAAGCAACAGTTGCTGGGCAAGAAGACTGTGGCCACCGCAGTCGAAGAAACTTGAGTCTGGCCTGGAGATCGAGGGTCAGTATTGAAATGGTGGATATGTGAACTATCAGTGGAAGCATACCTGACCATCTTGGCGTTCAAACCCGGGATTAGGGTCGACCACTGTGTCGCAATCGTCTTTTCAGTCTCAGATAGGCTCTCCCAGCTCTTCAGATCTTCTTCCGAAGCATCCTCTGTCATGAGAGAGGCATCGGGGAAAGGAAGATTAGGAGAATCAACCTTTCCGTTCGGGTTCAGAGGCAGCTTCTGCAAAACAATGTAGATCGAAGGAACGGAGTGCGCCGGTAAGCGAGACTTGAGGTGGTCTCGCACCTCGGCTTGGATACGGCGGAACCTCTTGAGATAGACAGTACAGGGTCCCATTTCTACACCCTCTTCGTCGATATCCTGGAGGCTCTGAGTCTCAAGCCAACGCTTCCATTCAGCGATCTCAGGCACAATGTAGCTGACAAGTGTCGGCTCCTCATTACGATCTCTTCGAACCAGTGTCTTGCAGTCTCGGATCAGAGGACTGCCACCAAGGTTCGCATCAATCTCGTTGAGTTCAATGCGGAATCCACGGATCTGTAAGAGTTAGCTTTGTGAAAACGCACAATGGAATCAAACGTTGACCACCTTAACTTGTGAGTCCATACGGCCCAGGACACGCACAGCTCCGTCTGGTCGATATTCTCCAAGGTCACCTGTGACGTAAAGTCTGTCTCGCGGCCCCTTGTAGTACTTGCGCCAAGGTTCGCCCTTATCGTTGGCCTTGTCTGCCTCCACCCACTTCTCGTTATCAACGAACCAGTTATCAATGAACTTCTCCTTGTTCTTCTCAGGATCATTAAGGTATCCTTCGGCAAGACCAGCAGCGCGGATATAGATCTCTCCAACCACACCGATCGGGCAGATCTTGGTGTGATCTTCTCGATCCACAACCAATACCTGGACGCCCTTCATGCCCCAGCCAGCGGGGATAGAGTCGCCGAGCGAGTCCAGAGCTGCAGGGTCCTCCTGGGCGGAAGGGACCTCAAAGTAGGACACAGCGCGAGAAGTTTCCGTGGTTCCGTACATGTTGATGATGGTGCAGGCGGGACCTAGCTGACGGAGACTCCTACAGTCCCGAGTAGTGAGGACATCACCAACGAAAAAGACCTGGCGCAGGCTAGGAAACTGCGCTGTGGCGCCACCAACCAGAATCTGTCCCATGGCAGGCGTGAGGTGAGTTGTCGTTGGTGACCACTTTCTCATCCATTCGCTCAACCTTACGTGCTGGATATCCTCCTTGGCGGGTAGGATTAGGCTTGCGCCCAAGGCCAGAGGCGTCATAATATCTGAGCCAGGGTTAGTCACATTTGCAACACATAGTGAATGAATCCCGCACCTCGCTGGATTGGATCATGGGCAATTCCGGAAAGACAGGCGAATACACTTTCTGATGAGAGGCCGAACCTCTCAGCCATCCACGGAAAATACTTTGCTAGACTGTAATGACGGCCAAGCACTCCCCTATTGAACGTTAATAAAGGTTCGAGCTCTTAAAAAGCTGGAGAAAAAAAGAAAAGAAGAGCTCGTACTTGGGCAATCCTTGCGTTCCGCTCGTGAATGACAGCGTACAGTTGGAGTCGGGTCCAATGAGCACATCGGGGGGTGTTGAGGCCCTCCCTTTAACATTGGCAAAAATATCAGCACTGTCTTCGCCCGCAATCAACTCGCCATCTTCGGTGAAGCGGAGGTCTGGGATCTTGATCTTAATGGCAAGTTCATCATCAATGCACTTTTGTACGAGAGGAGCAAGAGGACTGTGTCAAGACGTTAATCAGGGAGGGGAGCTCTCGGGTTATCAAGAGTTGGGGTTGGCCTTACCCGCTCTCTTCCGTAGCCTTGCGAATGGAGATGAGCGCCTTGGGCTTGGAAACTTGAAGATAGACTGGTATGGTATGTTAGTTAATGCTGATTTTCGTTCTCGTCCGGTGTATACCATACTTTGCTGTCTTTGCGGGGGGTACTGAGGATCAAGGACAGTGACGATAGCACCAGCAGCCAGGGTTCCCATGTATGCACAGACCAATTCGACTGAACGGTGCGCAAAGATCATGACTACGTCTCCATTCTGGATGCCGGAGTCGCGTAAATAATTGGCGATGTTGTTACTTGCTTCATCAATTTGGCGGTAGGTGTAGGTTCTTGTTGGCGCCCTGCATGCGTTGTTAGCAACTGATGCAATTGCGACCATGTTTCAATGCAAAGGGACATCGTCAACCCACTTCGAGGTCACAGTCTCTGTCACACAAAGCCTGTCAGGATGAGCCACGGCATTCTTGTGGAATATCTCATGAATGCCTCCAATGTAGCCTCCCCAGTCGAGATCTTCAGTAGGGTCAGGTAGCGACATTATGCCCGGCTGAACTTGTACACAATGCAAGGAAAATTCCTGACAGTTACAGCCAATGAATGAATAATGCAAAAGGATTGAGGGCCCAAGGGCGTTGATAAATTTAAACTCTCGATATGTCGTCCCCAGATGTAACAGAGCGACAGTTTGAGGCCATTTAAGAATGGATGAATATGGCTTGTGGCTTTCAATGCGTCACACAGGAAATTTCTATGGAGCTCCGAGAGCGGAGGGCCAGTATAGGGTAAGATAGTTGATGTGGAGGTGGGCACGTGACCCTATTACGCATCTTTGGACGTCGCTTTACATAAGGTATACAAATACGTACCAGTAGTTAGTGATTTCCTACCCAAATGACAAAAAGACTGAGGTGTTTTTACTCCAAGTCTACCAGACCTTGGGACTGGTTTTCTTTGACTCCTTGTTTCATTGGAGACCTGGCCAACAGCATAAGAAATGGAAAGTGGAAAGTTGGTTGCCCGTGACCTCCGCGGAGCCTGGCTAGCCCAAGCCGAGTTCGGGTGCAGCTGTTGGAAGAAATCCAATGGTTGTTGACCGTTACATTGACTCAATTACCTATACACCAACAATGTTGTTACTGATGAAATGGTAACTGCCAACACATTCCTGCAAAGAAATCTAGTTTCTCCTTACTGGATCCTTCAGTTCAATCCCTCACACTTCACCTCTTTTAAGCAACCGAAATCACATGTTACAGACTAACAAGCCACATGTAGTGTTCAAGTCTCAAGCACATGGCTAGTAGATGCCGCCCCCTTGATGAGTGGGCTGAGGTGTTGAAGGGCCAGTCATGCCTTCAGTCATGTAGTTTGCATTGGTAGGTCTAACTCAGTAGATCAGTATCAATCAAAGCCAAGAATGTGAACACATAAACTGACGTGCTGTCCCAATTTCTTCTGTGCATCTCACGACCTCGGTGGTGCTGCTCGCACTCAGGATGATATGTCCTAACGGGTGACTGACGGGACAATGTTGGCGTACAAGCACGAGACTGCCGCCTGATGGTATGTTAGTACTAGATGAATCTGGTATACGAGCGTACCCTACCCAGGCACCACAACTTTGAGTTGGTCAATATGCTGTCGAGTGTCTAGTATTTTAGACTTGGGAGTCGGTGTCCTTTCCATGGGATCGGAAGGGGGTCGAAGAGGTAGCACGGCCAAAGGGTTGTGATAATTTGACAGGTTGCTATCATTGGCGTTTGACACATTTGTTTGCGCGCGAGATTTTTGCGCGTCGGATGCGTTCTGATGAGTATGCGATAGTTGCACATTGGAGATAAGATCGAAGTCGTCACTATGAACTGTCGCTGCAGCAGAACCTGGCGACCGGATTCTATCACTGCCAACTGTATCACTCCCATTACTTCCTCGAGAGTGATCCGAGGGATCGCCGTTGTGCCCAAGGTCTTGACTGGCGCGAGGTGCTTCATGAGCCTCTGTTTGTTTATCCGTAGATCTGTATGCGTTCGATTTTCGATGAGAGCCTTCAAGCTGAGGCTGTGGCATGAGAGGGGTTCCGGGAACTGATTCGCTACCCACGGTCGAAGCTCTTCCGAGAGGAAGCCCAAACACTCGACGGAGACGCTGACGCCATGAAGGATGCCGAGGGGGTAAACCGCTTGAAGACATAGAAGCTGGACACGACCTAGAACGCTGCATTGGTCTGACTGGCTCATTCTGGTGAGTCATAGGTTGAAATACTGGCTGTGGTTGAACATATGTAGTTGGCTGAACAGGTAGAAACACTGGGATCTGCTGCTGAGGCATCACTCCCGAAGGACCCTGAAGATGCGGGAGGGGAGCTGGAGCGAGAGGGGCGAGAGGGGGGTGATAGAGCACAGGCTGATATGATACCTGTTGGCTTGGGAATCTCGGAACAGGAGGTAGTTGTACTAGTGAAAAAGTCGGGGCGAGGGCCAACGAGCGTCTTCTACGCCTCCGTTGGCGGCGGAGCACAATTTCCTGGTGAGCTGTCGTTATTCTTCCTAAGTAGTACATGTAGGCAAAGAGAAGAACGATCAAGATGACTGTAGCACTGGTGATAATACCTGCTTGTTCAGAGGGAGTCAGGCAGTCCCAACCCAAACACTTGTGACCTCGAACATGAAGGCTCAATATGTTGGGACAGGCGATGCCCACCTGGTCGATAGGAGTAACGGGGGCCATCGCATCGAAGCTTTCCGGACTGTGTTATCTGCACCTAAGTGAAAGTAAGGTTGGAGAGAAAGTCCTCCCAGTGGATAGGCGAGGACGAAGAAGATAATATCTTTCACCCGAGTAACTGACGGCATGGAGAAAGAAGAGAAATGAGGTTAGATGCTCCGAATGAAAAACATATCTGAACCTCCAGGAGGGATATGGATATCCGAGCTTGATAGCTCATCGTTGGCAAAGCTGGCTGACACTGTCTGGCAGCTGCCCAGTGGTCGCCAGGCCACCAACCCGGGCCTGTGAGCGATTCAAGTAATATGACTATAGAAATGTTAGTGTTTGACGCTTGAAAATGAGAGCCTGGAGCGCTGAGAGGGATTGCGATGCCGTACATAACGATAGTGATGTTTGAGAAGTACGAATAGAGGGGAATACACTGCATAGAAACATATTCCTTTCTGACTCATGTAATCTAGAAGGCAAAAAAAAAAAAAAAAAAAAGGAAATACAGGACATCAATAAGAGCATGAAATATAAGACAGAATAACCAGTAGTATAGAAACTTATAGGGGAAAAAAAGCTATTACTTGTATTTATTTTAATATCATTAAATATAGTAAACTATTATTATAGAGTTTATATAGGCAGAAACAGTCCTATTTACAGCAAATCAGATAGAAATATATACATACAATACCATAGTGCTACTATTAGCTCAAATTACTAAATTGAAATTTATTATTACAGAGCCTGACTGTCTCATTACTAGGATCCTTCCATGTAATCACCTCAAGCTGGAGATTTCGCCGTGTAAGTCATTGGCCAATCAGCGAGCGGCTCTCGCCCCATTAATATGCGCCAAGTACGTACCGCAATTCAAGACTCGTCCAGGTGCAGCTTCTCAGATTCTCTTTCATCCTGCGAATTCAACAAGACCAAGTTGATACGCCCAAAACTTCCGGCGCCATCATCACAACCCGCACAGACAACACCACACAGGCTCGCTCAGATTCTGCGATTGATTATGTCCCTTGGTCTTTGAACCACTCGATGAGCTGATCCTCCTTTAACTCGAGGCGCATTGACAGCTCCAAGCGACGCGTTCCTCGAACCAACTTTTTTACTCCCGAACGAACAACACCACTCTTTTATCCTCACGCCACTTTTTAACCACAATGTCCTCTTCGCAAACAGCAGCCGCGAATGGTGTCAATGGCGGAACACGGTCCGCGCCGGTCAGTACCCGATTCACTGACATCCCTTCCGCCATCGACATCCCTGTGCAAGGTGACCAGGAAGACGAGGCTGTCGAGATCGACCTCGAGGACCTCGTCGACGACCCTACTGAACTCTGTACCCTCTTCGAGAACGAGCGCGCCGCAAAAACCTACTGGATGACCGTCGCTTTAGCTTATGCCAAACAACACAAGATCGATCATGCCATCGAGATGCTCCAGCGAGGCGGCAGCGCCATCCAGAGCAACAGTTCCAACCCGCGCGATAAAGTCAGCATGATCTGTTGTCTATGTTGGATGTATCTGTGGAAGAGCAGAGAGGCTCCCCGTGTCGCACCCGAGGGCACCTCTGTGTCTGACGCCAAGACAAAGGAGTATTATCTACAGCTCGCGACATCCTCCCTCAACGATGCCGCTCGACTCAACCCATCGTTTCCTCCCATATTTCTCGCCCGCGGCGTTCTCCTCCTTCTACGGGCCTCTTTGCAGGCACCGTCCAAGACTACTGGAGGCATCGGTTCCGAGAAGCACGAGCTCCTCAAGACTGCCGTGAAGTCCTTCGACGATGCCCTACGAGTCTCCCAGGGTAAAAACATGCTTGCACTGATGGGAAAAGCTCGTGCTTTATTTTCAATGCACAAGTACCCCGAGTCGCTCACAATTTACCAGGATGTTCTGCAAAAGATGCCTGACTTGGTTGACCCAGATCCCCGAATTGGTATTGGCTGCTGTTTCTGGCAGCTTGGCTTCAAGGATGACGCCAAGATGGCATGGGAGAGGTGCATTGAGATCAACCCTGATTCAAAGGTTGCCAACATTCTCCTCGGCCTCTACTACCTGGATGCGAGCGGTCACGTACCTGTAAACAGCGACGAATTCTTGAAGCTTTACAAGAAGGCCATGACAGAATACACGCAGAAGTCTTTCAAACTTGACAAAAACCTCCCCCTTACCTGCTCGACTTTTGCCGGCTACTTCTTGTCTCGAAAGTCGTGGGACAATGCCGACAAGTTGGCGCACAAAGCTATTCAGTACACAGACGTCAATGCCATTGCCAGTGATGGCTGGTACATGCTTGCGAGAAAAGAGCATTATGATGGTGACACGGAGCGTGCGACGGATTACTATCGTCGTGCCGATGAAGCTCGCGGAGGTGCTGAGACGGGCTACCTTCCTGCTAAATTTGGCGTTGCTCAGCTCTCAGTTTTGAAAAATGACCTGGGAGAAGCCAAGCTTCGTCTGGAAAAGATGATCCAACAGTCCAAGAACCATGAGGCTATGATTCTCCTGGGCACACTGTACGCCGAGGAAGTCTTCGCTACCCAGGTAAGCGATAGCAAGGAGGATAAGTCTGCTGAACTCAAGAAAGCGACCGCTCTTCTGGAGGGCGTACGGAATGCTTGGAAGGACCCGAAGAAGGCATTATCGCCAGATGCCTCAGTTCTCCTTAACTTGGCACGCCTGTATGAGACGGATCACCCTGACAAGGCTCTGCAATGCTTGCAACAAGTTGAGCAACTTGAATTGGACCAGGTCCCGGCATCCGAACGACCTGAAGATGTCACTGATGAGGTCGAGATCAAGGCTGCGC